ATATATACATGTATGCATAGAAAATGAATATATATGAAGCTTGTAAAAATAGTGGGTTTGTGTATGTCTTTTTCAAACCTCTTCAGTGTTAATTATCCCTTCTTCTACCCCTTTTTTTCTCCTGTCAATCCAGCCTACAGCTTCCCTTCTCATCAGTCCTCCTCAGAGAAATGTATCTGTACAGTGGATGGTTGTTAACTCAGAAACACATGTTGATCAAAGTGCAGAGAATAAGTGGCATGATTCACCCACAAAAGGGACATCTCTATTCTGCCACTCACAAGGTTCAGGGAATATGACAGAAGAGGGTGATTGAAAGATTGTTAGAACCAGATGCCTGGGAGGACCAGACTGAAAAATGTCATTTGGACATGACTGGACCACTGCATTGATGAATTTATAGCAGCTCTGTCTGCTATATAAATAATACATAATGACATAAGGCCAAGCAAGCCAGCATTATGGCATGGAGAGAGGAGAAGCCCATGAGACCACACCCATAATCAAGGAGGTATTGACAGTTTGCTATGACTTCTGATGAAGTCAGTTTTTTTTTTAATGGTGGTGCCTACTGTAGGTGGACCATGCTCCAGCAGATGATCCCACACCCATGGGTATGTGGGCAGCATAAACTGGAATTGATGGGCTATTGTTTTAATAGGACACAAAGTTGGAAAGTGGAAAATGAGCCTCAAAGGTGTCAAGGATAGGGAGGAAATAGAATAAAACGACATTCTATGAATCTGTCAAAGAATTAACAAAAACATTGTTTTACAAAAAAGAGTATGACAGACTTTTATCCCTAGATTCTAAGATACATCCTCTGAATCCTTGACATTTTCTAGCTGAAAGGAACATCTTTATTTTCACAATGGGCGCTAATAGTTTATGCTAAGATAACTAATGCTAGGATCAGTAGTTAAAGAATGCTTGTTGTTCTTGAAGAGAACCTGAGTTCAGTTTCCAGAGTGGTTCACAACTCTCTATAACTCCAGTTGCAGGGGATAAGATTCTCTTCAGGCCTCTGTGGATTCAAGGCACACATGTGGTGCAAATACATACAGATAGACAAATACCAGTACACACACACACACACACACACACACACACACACACAATAAACCTAAAAATAGCTTTTAAAAGATGATTGTGGTTTTGAAGAGAATTGGAGCTAACAATGTCATGCAGAAATGCAGCTGGCCACAACCTTATAGACCACCAGTAAAGCTGGGACTTCAGACAAAGTATCTGCCTGACCTGGAAGAGAAGAGATGGAGATTGAGTTCAGCCTCATGGCAAATGATTCAGTCAGTTGTGTTAGATGATGGAACCTCAGTACAAACTGCTCTGGAAACTTAGTTGAACTCCAGTTGCTAGAGTACATTATCACACGTGTGTGTGCCAGGAAGATGAAGCAGCTGGGTTTTGCAATGGAATAACAGTGGAAGAAACCTTTAGGACCCCTCCCAGAGTTTGTCCCATGTATCTCTCTTCTTGACTAATTCTAACTTGTATCATTTTTCTATGAATAAAACCATGATAATAAATACTACACTGTGTGGGCTCTGGGAATCAGCAAATTATTGAATACCGGATGATGGGTAGTGGAGCTCCTAAATTATAGATAGCTAGCCAAAATTCAGATGACTTAGGAGCTCCAAATGATGGCCCTGGGGTCTGGAGTGAAGCCATTCTTGTGGTTGTGTCCTCACTCTGTGATATCTGGTCTAACCTGGGGTAGCTGGTGTCAGATGTGGCTATTTGAGTGCACTGAGAAGTGGACGGTGATCATATAATGTGCATGGTCATATGAGTGCTCATACAATGTGGGCAGTGGGCAGTGCTGAAGCATATGCAGCCATCTTGCTTCTAAGTCACGGAAGGCCAAGGCTGCAGTGCTTAGGATGCTTTTTACATGTCACCATCTGAGATGCAACTATCAAGTTCATGAGGAGGCAGTGGGCGCCATCACAGCTCTGGACGATGGCCCCTCCCTCATTGATAGACTCTCCCACACATGCTCAGTACAGTCTCTGCCTCCCTCTTCATCACAAAAGCCATAGGAGATTGGGTAACTGGCTTGATAGAGATAGCATTTAATTGGGGCTTGCTGGTCATGGTGATGTTAGAATTCGTTTCAAACAATCTTGCATGGCTCACAATGTCAGGTTCTGCCAGGCTCTGCTGAAAATACTCTGTCTGGCCCTTCACAGTGGCCCTAGAATGAGAAAGGCAGGGTTGATCTGAGTCAACTTCATTGAAATAAGTTATTTCCAGTGTAACGCATAGCTGAGAAACCTAGATCAGCTGAATGACAGTCAACATCTAGGCCCATAAACTGGGAGAGAAATTGCTTGGTGACATAAGTCACTGAATTTGGGGTGAGTTGTGATGCTGTGATATTGTGGCACCAACTGGTTGTTATTTTTACACTGGGTATTTAAACATTTTCTATATCAGAGATTCCTAGTATTTCTAAAAATAAATCTGTATTCCTGGTTATTAGAAGAAAATGATTAATGATATGGGGCACCCATTAAACTCCAGAGATTGTGCCAAGTGATTTTATAAGTATTATCTTTGTTTTGTTAAAAAGCAATGCAAAATAGGTAAGTTTCGCAGATGAATAAACAAGTTAAAGTAGATTCTCTTTCTTAAGCGCACAATGATATGAACACAAGAGAGTCCGCCCCTAAAGCCTATGGTCTCTGACTGCACTATTTGCAACAGGATGGATTTTCTAAGTTTAAAAGAACACAGTGGGATACCTGAACCAGCCTGGAGAGCAGCACAGCTTATAACCAGGCAGGAAAATTATGAATTGTCCCGATTTTCTTAAAATGAAGATGATAATATTTGTTATTTAGATTGTATGCCGAAAAACGCAAGCTTATGAGATAATATATTTCACCTAAAATTAGTTGTTTCCTTTTCTGAGCTCACCCGGTGTGTTATTCATGTTGGTATCCTACCACAGGATGTTGTACGTTAAACTATATTGTTCACACATGCGACCTTGCAGTCTGTGAACTCCCTGCGAGAGAAACCCCGCCTTGTTCCACTTTTATCTCTCACTAAACCTCACACTGAGCCTGCTACAGGGAAGAAATTGCCATTTCAAATTATGATCTTTAATTGTTCAAAATCATTGGGTGCATATATATTGGAAATTATACATTATAATTCATGTGCTCCAAATTTCAAGGTGATTGTAAATCTATAAGCCAAGCTCTGAGTGTTCCTCATGAGATTCCCAGGTTGTACGTCCCCCACAAGAGTATCCAAAGGATCATACACAGAAAAGGTCACTGCCATTCGATGAGGTTTATGTAAAAGATGCCCATGTATGATGGATGGATGCCTTCTTAACCTAATTGTCTCCATGTGGCCTCCTCCTATCTACTGAGATATGTCGTCTTACTGGACCAGGCTGGATCCTATCATCAGCTACTGCAATGACTGTCTTAAAACCGTGCTATATCAATATGCTATCTATTCCAAAGACTTGCTTGCTGAAGAGACAGTGAACGTTTGAGATCATTAGCTGTGGGCGAGAGGGGGAGGGGGACAAACGAAAATGGCGGTGCTTCCGCTGGAGCATCGTCTCTTAGGACATTGGCCATGGTGGTGACAAGAGGACAAGAAATTAAAACTGTAAGCTAGGCTGAAGAGGAGAGAGGGGATGGCTTGAGAATAAAGGAATCCCATTGTTGACCCGTTAGTGTGAAAGAAATATATTTTTATCACCTCCTTCCTTTGTGTTTTTGATGTAGTCTCGCTATATCTCATAGAAGGCGGCAACTGTATTCCTAAGCTCAAACTTCATTGTGGACTAGAGTCAAATTGAACTGCACAGTGTGCATTTTCTCAATTGACTTCCTCCTGATATCTTTTTTTTTCACTTTTTCTTTACTGTATCATATCTTATATTATTAGCTGCATATGCTCCAACCTCTGGGATCTTTGGTAAGTTATTTAAGAAATAGTAATTTCCCTGAGTGAAATGGCCCTGCCAGGTTCTGCAGTTCAGCTAAAAGGATGCTGATGGAGGGCCCATCACAGTACATGGAACTCACGGCGTGCTGAATGGGCTCACAATGAGCCCTTCTTTTCCACCTTTTGGGAAGGTTGGCCATCTTGCTAAGCACTTGAGAAGAATCAAACTGTGTTCAACAAGGCTGGTTTTTTTTAGAAACTGAAAAACATGAGCCACAGTTCTAACCTTGCTTCAGAATTGGATGGAGTTAATCTGGGATTTTCTGCACTCACCTGCATGGTATTAGTTGTGTAATAGACTAACGTGGAGGTGGGGCCACTGCACCCCTTTCCATGGTACTCTCATCCCAATTGTTCGCCCTGTGAAACTCAGTGTCTCCTCAGAGCACAGGCTCAGCTAGAGACTTGGGTGGCTTGGTTCAGGGCCATAGCTTCCTCGAGGAGAAGAGTTTCTCAGAAGGTGATAGGTCAGACGCTGTCTCATTAGGACAGTAGCATTTTATTCAATGACCAACAATCATGCAACAGGTTCAGTCAACAGGCTGAACCCTGAGGAAATCTGGGACAGTGAGGGTAAAGGCAAGAAGCAGCTATTTTTGCTTGTTCATCCCCTTTTGCTTTCAGGCATTCTGTTTTCCCATTCCCATAAGCTTAGCCATAGCTCAGGTAGATCTTTTCCTGGTTGGTATAGGGTGTTGGAATGATCTCACCTTTTGATGTGAGAGACCCAGTGGCTTGGCTGCCTCTATGATTCCATTGCTTTTCACCTTACTTCAGAGAATGGGGGAAGCCAGGGGAAAAGCTCTTACTTAACCTTAGTTGCTGTTTCCCTCCTTGTAGATGCTCTCTAATGTGGCAACTATCTAAACTTAGGCAGTCTGCACAGGGCTCACTGGTGGGTTCTACAGGGCTGCCCTGTGGATTGGTATGGACTGGTGTGCGTGATAATCACATCTGGACTCGTGTGGATGGTAACCTCATTTGGACTGGTGAGGATGTTAATCCTCTCTGGACTGGTGCCGATAATCACATCTGGATTACTGTGGATGGTAATCACATCTGAACTAGTGAGGATGGTAATCCCATCTGGACTGGTGTGCATGGTATTCACATCTGGATTACTATGAATGGTAATCCCATCTGGACTGATGTGAATGGCAATCTCTCCCTCTGACTCCTCAGGAATGTTTTCTTCTAATATCTCCTGGAATACACACCATAAAGACCTGTGCAACCTGCCCCATTGGGCAGCTTCTTGCTATGATGCTTCCAGCATGAAAAGTTCTGTGGCTTTCCCTTTACCTACAAGATAATTGATATGCGGCTTCCATTCATGGCTCTCCTCTCTCTCCTTCTTATTACTATGAAGGGGTGAGCAAAACACAATACCCCCTCAAAATCACCCAGATTTTCCTAAAACACTTCCTATGACTCTCTTTCCTTGAGTGTGGCAATCCTGAGAAGAAGCAAGATTTCATACTTCTCCTTTCAGTTCTCCTTCATAACCACTGCTACAGCTTTTCATGGGTTCGATATGCAGGTAATGGATAGAGTGGGAATAGTTTTACAATGGAAGGACCAATAAGGATCTCTTGAAAAGGTACTGTAGAGATCTCGCCATCATCTCTCTTCATGCTCAATTGGTACTACCATTCACTGTTCTCAAATATTTAGGTAAGGAAGCCTGCACCCAATAGAAAAGCATCATTCAGCACCCACCCACACCAACATTCTCTTCTTACTCTGTGTTAAACACATATAGACTTCCGGGGCATAAAATGCTGATGGCTCAGGTTTAGAGTTTAGTTGGGGAGGTTATATTCATGAGTTGAAGAATGGCCTGATGGCATACACTTAGGAAGATCAGAGAAAGGAGAGTTGGTTGTTTTAATGATGATTAGAGAAGAGAGAGAAGAAAGAAACAAGCGGCAGCTTCAAAGGAGAAACAGGATCCACTCTAACCCTAGAAATATGGGAAGATTTCAAAAGTGCTCGGGACTACCGAGATGTCTCAATGGTTAAGAGTGGGTACTGCTTACTTATAGCCCGTGGGTACTGTACTCACACATACAATACCTTCCCAAGACACACACATGCTTTGGTATTTTTAAAGAGTCTTTTACTCAAAGGAGGACATTTCCAGTGGAAGAAACTAGCGTGTATAAGAGGCAGTAGATAAATATGGGATGCAAGCTTTTCAGCTTGACAGCAATGTAGGGAAAGTGAGAGGAAGCGGCAGAGATATCATCTGAAAACTGAGTCAGGCCAGATCAGAGAGTGGAGTCTTGGCCACCGACTGAGAACTGGGGATGTTCATCTGCTTCCTTTAAAGCTGACGAGTATTGGATATGACCTCTATAAAGGACCCTCATCAAGACTCCTTATGGTTCCAAGTCCCAATGTAAAGCTAATACTGGGAAAAGGCAATATTGTCATAGTTTTGTTATTTACTTACATATCTGTACATGCCATGTCTTGTTTCCAGGAGATATTTGAGTGATAGAAGACAGCCATGGCCTTCAGCCCATAGCACCGCCTGCTAATGCAGGCTCTGGAAACTCCTGGGCTTCCTTCCCTTTCCAACATCACTCATAAATAAATCATTCAAATTGCTTAAAAATACCCAGCATCATGGAATCATTATCACTAATTCAAAATTATTCAGCTCGGTGAATATTAATAACATTGTAGTAGAAAATATAAAATAGGCTTGGAATAGGCACTTCGACCTAATAATCAAAATTGATATTACTTATATCATAGAGACTGGTAAATTTTTATCACTGGGTAGATAAAATAGATGACTTCAATATCAGTTTTGTACTTTAAGATGCGACATGAACCTGTCAAGGTTATTAATATCCCGAAATGCCAGATATTTCATCTGTTGTTTTTCATAACACCTCACTGTTGAACAAAGGGAAGGTGACAATGCCATTCTTCTTCCTGCTCTCTGTTGAGACAGTCACCTTTCTCGCTTATTAAGAGTTAGCATCAAGCCCCGAGTTCCTTGATCAAAAGCCCTTTGTCAATGTCATCTCGGGAGAAGCAAGTGAGCAATAGCTGCTGCGAGCCACACCTCGCATTCGAGAGAAGGTACCAGAACAGAATAGTAGTAGCATTTGTTGTCACGAGTCACAGGCGGAGCAAAAATCTAGTTCTGTGTCAATGTGAGACGGAGTTGAATAATGGAAAGTGACCTTCGGGTTAAAAAAAAAAGTCCTTTCTTGATTTCTTACTCATTTTTCTATGGACAGGACACAACACTACAAAGAACTAAGAATATATTGACAAGTTCTTAAGGCAAAGACCGATTTATTATCAGGTTATTTTGCCGCAGGGTTAGAGGCGCCAAGCTTCCACTGGCTGCTAATGTTACTTTAAATAAAATCAAACACAGTGAGGTTTTCGTCATTATGTTGTTGTTTCCTTATAAAGTTCCCATTTGTGCGTTTATGGGATTTTACAGACAAACTTACACGCATACACACTTACTTGTTAAGCTGACCATCAGTGTGATGGACACGTCTTGCATGAGATACTGGTAATTACCAAAGATCTGCAGTTGCTGAAAGAAGGGAGAGTCAGTGTAAGTCTCATGCCTGTTATCGTTGGGTTTCCCATTCGCAGTGCTCCGCAGGCAGCTGCTATTTCTTTCTTCTTTTCCAAAAGAAAATATGGTCCGAAACCCGTCACTATCCCATTAGACTAAACGACCCCAGAAGCCATTTTCTCCGTATTTAACTCATTTCTTCATTATCAGTGCCATCATCAGAACCCAGCCAGCCTCCTACTGGCCACGTTGGCCCTGGCAGGCATCACGGCAGTCTGGACAGCTGAATTCTCAGCACAAGATGTAAAAGTCCAAAAGTTTCTAATGGAATTTTAAACAAAATTTAAAGTCAAGGCCCCAGTTCGTTTAGCCGTGTAGGCCTCCACTCTTGAGTATGGACGAGTGACAACGTAATGAGGCTGGAGTTCGCTCATGTCCCCAAACTGAACGAGGCCTTTCCCACTAACTCAGTGGTTCTCAACCTTCCTACGGCTGCAACCCTAAAATGATTTCATTGCTACTTCATAACTGTAATTTTGCTACGGTTATGCATCCTAATGTAAATATCTGTTTTTTCCAATGGTCTTAGGTTACTCCTGTGAAAGGGTGGCTCAACCCCTCAAGGGGTTTCAACCCACAGGTTGAGAACCAGTGCCCTGATTAAGCCACTGCAGAATTTAGTCTTCTATCTCTGCCTTCTCGAGTCTGGCTACACACGGAACTTAGCTTTCCAGTTCACACTCTTGGAGCTGAACTCATAAGGCCAAAAAGTCAAACCATTATTCTTGGGGACTGTCTTTGCTGGACCTTGGGCAGCCAGGCCTGGGGACCTGCTCCATAGCTAATAACTGAGTTCCATGCTGTAGTCTGGTTTGGGTGTGTTGTAGATGTCTACAAGCGAGCGTATGCTGGGCTTTCCAAAGGCTCTGGACCAGTGTTTGGGCTGAGGTGCTCAGATGACACACCCATCAGGCTCCAGACAACAGTGGACAACTGCTGAGCGGACCGATTCCAGCTCTCTTCAGTTCTGCGCCCAGTTTCATGAAAAGGTAGAACATTTTGCCCCTTGATCCCCAACTGTTCTTTATCTACTCCTGTGTATGTGTGTATGTGTGTGTGTGTGTGTGTATTGAACACATTCTGTGTGCACTTGCATGCAAATGGGTAAATGTCTGTGTACACATGTGTGAGGCTAGAGGTCAGGATCAGGTCTCCCTTTACAGCTCTCCACCTTATTTATATATTTATGCATTTATTTATTGTTGAGATGGTCTCTCACTGACCCTGGAGCTCACCAGTTGACTAGACTGCCTGGTCATTGGGTACCTTCCATCACTGGAACTATAAGGTGTATGTTACCGAGTTCAGCTTTTTATGTTGATGCTGAGCCTCTGAACCCAGCAAGCACTTCACTGACTGAGTCATCTCCCTGGCCCCAGGTTACTATCTCTTGCCCTTTCTCCGAGTAGGAAAATTGCAGGAAAAAAGAACACAAGGAAAACTATTCAACAGCAGGTGTAGAGTTTTCGATAAGAACAGCTCTCCTAGAACTGTGGAGACCGTGAAAATAGGTCACTGACTTTCCAGAGGTGGGAGCTGGCCAGGGGTAAGACCCGCTTTGCATTTGGATTGAGGTAAGGCTTAAAGGTGGGTTCCTGACCCCCTCCCTACCTGCTGGCTATTTAGCCTCTCACGTGTGTCCTTGCCAGCAATAGCCAACAATATACCCTAATCCTGGGTCTCCCATTCACCTCTAAATATCCTCTCAAAACAATAAAACAGCTGAATTCCCCAAGTGTCCTCTGCGCCTGTTAGATTCTTTCATTATAGAGCAAACTATGCTTGAAATAATGAAGATCATTTTTAATCTATATACAGCTCCTCTATGCAGCTACTTCTAAACCAAGATCACCATTGGTTTTTTAGAGTCCTTTGTCATTGTAAGGAATCACCACTCCTTCACTGGTGTGTCTAACCCTATTAAATTCTGAGTAGGTTCTGCAGGACAGCCCCACTATGGGAGATTTTTAGCATTCCTGTCCTTCAAAATCAAATTCAAAACCTTTGCTTCCTCTTTATCTCTTTTGAGTCTTTTACCAAAAATATTCCACAGTTGGAGGCAGATCCGTTTCCTGCGGAGTTATATTTAGGCTGTTCTCAAGCTCTGTTTATACCCCAAGGAAGAGACAGGCTTGCAGAGGTCAAGAGTCTTGGATTATCCAGAGAAAACCAACACCCTAGACAACAGATCCAGGGCTACTGACTGCAAGCCTAGGCTGCACGCAGCACACCGGGTTCTCAAGTTTGTGGGCATCTGTTTCTGAGAAATGTCATGTATTTATAAACATTCAATAGGGTGTGGGATCCACATCCCACAGCTATAAATACAATGAGATCTGAGAAGAAATGATTTTAATTCATACCCAGTAGAGAAGTGATGTTCCAATAAACTGGATGATGCCATACATGGTCAAGTATTTAAATACACCAAAGGATGAAACCAGAGCGGCTCGGCCCTCCCTGTTTGGAGCAAACAAACACAAAATCTGCTTATATAGGCCACACAGCTCCTAGTCTTAACATTTCAAAAGGAGTTCATTTAAATTTTTTCCATTCTTTAGCAATTTCCGTATGTATCTAATGTATATAATACATTTGGCCACTCACCTCTCCACCCTCCTGTATCCTTCCCCCACCCTTACCAAGACCCTTACCCCTTTCACCAAATCCCCATCCCACTTTTTGTGTCTTTTGGTTATGATTTTTGTTTCTGCTTCGTTTTAAAGCATTGCATTATAGTCTAACCAGAGCCACCTATATGAGCATGCGTGTGAAGCTAACCACTGAGGCATGCGTAACACGCCACTGATTGCATCTCTGAAGATGGCGCTTGACTGACAGTAGAGTCCCATGGAGGCTGCAATGTAGAGACCATGACTAAATGTTTGCATAGTAGGTCTTGTGCATGCCCTGTGCATTGAACTCCTGATGCTTCTACCTCTGCCTCACAAATGACGGAACTACTGCCATCCACTGGCTTGCGCAGTGCTAAGAGTCAAACCCAGCATCTTGTCCCCAACAGGCAAGCATTAACTAATGCACTGCATCCCAAGACCTATTTAACCCTTCATTCATTTGTTCATTCTCTCACTCAGTCCTTAATTCCCCCTTTGATTATTCATCCACTTTTACTTAGGTCTTATGAAGCACCCACCTTACACCAAAACTCATTACAAAAGGATATGAAATGAGCCCGGCCCTGTCCTTTCTGCGAAGTCAGAATATTATTGTGTATATCCTAAGCATAATGCAACATTATGATAATCTGCTGTGGCAAGCATTGGCTTGATCCCTAATTTCTTCTATCTCAACACGTGCTCCCTGGAATTGAGTGAGATTTAGTGGCTCTCAGACACACTAAGCTAAAAGATTGGTGCTCTTCAAAGTTTAGATGCAACTCTAAAATTTGAGTTCTGATGTTTCTGCCATCAGTTGGTTTGTTTTTCTGGAGGAAACCAAGGTACTATTCTAAACTGGTAAAGAGACCAAAAGATGAAGCCTGCTAGACACTACAGCTTGGAACCTGCATCTGCATTATTCGGGGGAAATGAGCTTTCGCTAGGGTTTGTTGGATGGTGATGAATCTGAGGACAGTGTGAGAATGCAGCGTGATGGTTCTGCAGCTTCCTCTCGCCAAGGCGGACATGGGCCCACATGGGCTTCGCTTTGTTTCTAGTCCCTAGAGACACGGGCACCTGCTCAGCTCAAAGATGTTATAACTATAAAGAAACATAAAACGGAAAACCTGGGAGCCCAACTACTAACTACTTGCCTCGGGCAAGAGGAGTGTTAAGTTTGGGAGATGGGCCAGGGTACTTCAGGCAGATGTTCCCCACCAGGCTGTGAACAGCTAGCATTTGCTTCCAACAAAGGATGGAGGAGAAAACAGACTGAGGAAAGAATGCAGAGCCTAGATTGTTTCCCCAAGTCTGACACAAACATTATGATTTCATCTCCCCCCCCCCGCAGTTGTATATAATTTCAAGAAAATTAAGACAGCCAGATCCAAAACACAGCACGAACATGGTCCTGAGGACAGGATAAATGCTGTCTCTGTGAACTGCCAGGGTCGCTGCTGCTTTTAATGCTTATGAATTTTAGTCACTCATACATTTATCTGCGCATCCTGCAGCCATGCCTCTAATGTTCTGCAATACCAAGCTTAGAGCTAGATGCAATGCTCGATAAAGAACCAAAAGCAGATAACGGCTTCTCCCTCAAGGACTTGAACACCCAGTGACTCACGCTCTGAAGAATGGCAATGAGACCTGTGGACCTGGACCTGTTCGTATAAGACTTGTACCTCATTACCTTTCTAGGTCTTTCTCGGGAATAAGCACGTGTGGAGAATACCAATGGATAAAAGAACTGAACACAGAATCATATCTAATATGTGAAATATAGAAGGGAAGAACATCTTCTCTAGAGTCTTAACAATAATCCATCTGCCCCTAACAAATTTTGTATCTTTACTTGTCTTGTAAACCAACATACTTCATTCTAAACGCATTCTAGATGCATTAAGGCATTGGGTCACAGTCATGTTTGGGGGGTATGGGAGTGATGGTGCTTAAGAGTACAGAAGAATGCAGGTGTAGATTGCCAGGGAATAGGCACATGTGACCCAGACGCTAGGGTGACATGCAAAAAGGATAGGGTATTTCAGGCTTGATGACTTCCAAACAGTCATTTCTCTGGGGCACCAAGAAACACGATGGAGAATCATGCGATTGCCCTTTCGGTGTAAGCTGAGTGATGACTTCCAGCCCACTGGCCATGGAGAGGCTCACCTACCAGGTATTCCAGGAAAAGCATGGGGAAAAGACTTATGAACAAAATATAAAGCTGGATGCTTTATTCCTCATCACACTTAAAATGTAGGTAGAAACAAAGTTAGAAAAGGGTGTAGGGAAGGAAAGCAAACACATGCCCCTCCTTCCCTTTCTCCAGTCAAGTACAATACCTTCTGCAGCAACACCCTGGATGGGTTTGAATTTTTATTTTAGAGTTATACAATGGTATTGGGAGAAGCTCTTTAATCATGTGTTCTCATCCTGTTTTCTTATCTACCCCAAACTCATCATAAAATATCACAGAAGGCATCCACTATATGAAAGTCCGAGAAAGAGAAGACATACAATCAGGTTTTACGTATCAAAGCAATCTTTTAGCAGTCTACCTGACAACCCATCTATTTCTTAAACTCACTGAAAGTCAGCTTCAAGGGTTTGCCAGTGTTTGCAGGCAACAGGTTATCATTCCTTGGTTAATGGTCCGGCAGCACTAGACCCACACCTGTGCTGGCCTTCATGACTTGAAATTAGTGTCCAGTTCCACCGATTTCCAGAGCCAGAGAATGAGTCATAACAACGAGGTAGAGAGGAAGGGGCAGCTTACCTGATAAGATGAGGCACACACTCGATGTTGGGTGTTTTCGAGGTGAAGGGAGAGGCCACGGATGCTTCCTGTTCTGATAGCGAGATGCCTGCATGAGCCATTTTCAAAGCCTGGAATGATCCATCCAAGTCAAACCGTGACTCCTCAGACCAGACTCTTTCTACTCAAATACCATAGCTATTTGAAATAGGTCAGTTCAACACAACGTGTGGCAGGTTGAATACAATTGGCCCCATAATCTCATAGGGAGTGGCACTATTAGGAGGTGTGGCCTTGTTTGAGTGAGTGTGACCTTGTAGGAGGAAGTGTGCCACTGTGGGGGTGGGCTTTGAGGTTTCCTATGCTCAGAATACCACCCAGTGTCTCAGTTGACTTCCTGTTGCCTATAAGATGTAGGACTCTCAGCTATTCCTCCAGTACCATGTCTGCCTGCCTGCTGCCATGCTCCCCACCTTGATGGTAATAGATTGAATCTCTGCAACTGTAAGTGAGCCACCCCAATTAAATGTTTCTTTTATACGAGTTGCTGCGGTCATGGTGTCTTTTCATAGCAGTAGAAACCCTAACTGAGGAACTGGCATTGTCCATATGCAGATTGTGGCTCATGCTATCTCTTCATCTGTATACCCTGTCTCCTCCGGTCCATAAAGTCACCACGAAAAAGAGACTGACTAAGCATGATCCTTAGTAGAAGAGAGACTGTGTGTGTGTGTGTGTGTGTGTGCATTCCACACACGCTTGCTTAACGTACTATCTGTGTGCCATGCGTATAGCATCAGGAAATGGAAGGACCCATTTATAAAGTCTGTAACAGGAGGACAGAAGGGTTGGCGAGAGGACAGCACAGTGGTTCTCAACACTCCTAACACTGAAACCCTTTATCCCAGTTTCTCATGTTGTGCTGACCCCCTACCAGGAAATTCGTTTTGTTACTACTTAATAACTGTAATTTTGCTACTATTGTGAGTCATAATTCAAATATCTGATATACGGGGTATCTGATATGTGACTCCTGAGAGAAGGTTCTTGGATCCCAAAAGCGTTGCAACCCACAGGTTAAGAAACACTGACTTAGCAGCTCTCAGTCCATACTCTTGCGGAAAACCCAAGTTCAGTTACTCCTACATTGGGAGTTACAGTTATCTGTAATTCTATCTCCATGGTATCTAGACCCTGTAGGCACTTGCATTCTCCCTCTCATGCACACACACACACACACACACACTTGCACATAATGAAAAAAAATAAATCATTTACAAAGGATGACAGAATTTGGATGGCCATGGATTGGAGACTCACACTATCTCAGTCCTACTCTCAGCAGGGCCATCCTCATGGAAACAAAAACAAAAAACAAAAGATGGGGAAAGACATCTAACCCCAACTTTCCCTACTGATTGATCTAGTCAACTGGTTAACTGCTGGTAAAGCGTGTGTAGCAGGCAGCATCACCACCAGATGCCAAAATCAACCCACCCCCATCTGTAGGTACCATTGTAGGCACATGGTGGTGCACGTCACTGCACATATATGAGGATTCATTCATTTCCTATGAAAGTTAAAAGCTGTCCAGTGAACATGCAGCAGACTGACCCATAGGCAGGCCAGAGAAAGAACGCAATCTCACAGGAACTGTATGACTGTGAGAAGAGATTCTGTATTTAGGTTCCCCTACAGTGCTTGGTTGCATGGTTTGGTAGGCAGGAAATTCCATCTCTATAAATCTTAGAACATTGCCTCCCTCTCCCTTAGTGTTTTACACCTCTACTGTGTGATTTAAGATCGCCCGCCGTATGTTAGCGTTAATTTAATGCATGAGTCCTCCATCAGATGACTGCCTTTTGGGAGAACAGAGGCTATGTCTTTTTGATATTTTTGTTTTGCTGTAAATGTCACATAATAAAGAGCTGTAGGTATTCATGCTAGGTTGAATGAATGGTCTAACAACTGCCCTCTAATGAAACACAGGCAGAAAAATTTACCCTAAGTCCTTGAGTATGAACACATTTTTTGCAGACATTGGAAAAAATATTGAAGAGGAAAGTAAAATGAATAGCCAGATTTTAAATATCTGTTAAGCTTTTTTGGATATAAGCATATATAAGGAATAGAAAGCAATTTTCTTTTCCCCTCTGCCGTCTGTCATTCTTCCCTCTCCTCTTCTTTATCCTCCTCTTCTGTGTGCTCTCCTTTGATGGGTTGAGCATCACACACGCTAGGTAAATGCTCTAGTATTCAGCTATAACCTCATCCCTGGTCTTCAATTCCTGTACCACACTTGCCTATTAAAGTACATATATACATATATTATATATATATATATACATATTTTATATATATATATATATATATATATATATACAAGCCAACTGTTATTTCACCGGCATCTTCCAAAGTCAGAACATAAAATTTATACTTCGCTTCTGGTAAGAATGACGAATAACTGGAGACTCATCTAATTTTAGTTTTTCTCTAGTGTGTAAAAACCATACCATTTAGGATTTCATAACAATTTAGGAGAAACCTAATTTTCAAAAATTAACCTCAGAGTGGGTTTGGTGGGGATAAATGCAATTTACACGTAATTAAAAACTTTATGAGTTTCAACCTTTTCCTTCTCAAAGGCATTGCCAGCTGTGCACCCTGTGCAAAAGCATGCTCCCTCCCAGAGGCTTTCTCTCCTTATAAGTGGCATTAAAGGCTTGAAGCAGGTAATCTTGTAAAGTCCTCAATGGGCCTGAACGTCGGGAGTGTCAGCAAATTATTTTATTATTCTGGGAATTGCCAGAAGACAGCGGAAGTGACGCCACCTGCCACCTCTTTCTGTTTCCAACCCATGCTGACGGAGAGGTAGGCAGTGACCCAGTGGCTGCTGGAGGAAGGATGAAGAGGCCCCAGGGGTTTGTTGGGGAGCTCAAGAGAGATTCCGGAGTGCTGCCCGGGGTTAGCCCAAGCCATGTGTACTTACCCCACAGTCATTGGCCCCATCTCCGCACATTCCCACACAGTAACTACAGAGAAAATGATAGAAGAATCAACAGCTCAGAAGCGCTCTTGACTAGCTTCCATTATAACTAGCTCCAATGGTGTGTGTGTGTGTGTGTGTGTGTGTGTGTGTATGTGTGTGCGTGTGTGTTCTTGGACAGATGTGGAATCAAGAAAATGACTTAGAGAATCTTGGTTCAAGAGGGAAAACATCCCCAACTCAATCACTGAAATGCCAGTGACAACACCACGGACATCGGCAATGAAGGTAATCACACATTTGAAAAGGAAGTCAGGTTGATTATGTCCACTCTATCAAGGTCAAAAGCATGGACTGGTGATTGTAATGAGGTCATCATGACAGTACGTCTCCCCCAGTCTAATAGGCAGGGCACAGCCCAACCTGGCCAAGTTGTTCTCACTGATGCCGAGAGTTCACTTTCAACATTAGGGGGAAGGGTCCCTGGCTCATGGCTCAGCAGATACGCCTAGAGCATCCACGTGTTCTGGATGCATCACAGAGAGGCAGTGAGGTCATGTGTACCCTTTGTATATCAGCTTGGTAAGTAAACAGGGTCTAAATGGAAGAATACATTTAAAGTTGCTGCCAAGGAGAAGGCATTTCTTATGCAGAGTCCTTTGGGCCTTCTATTACAAGTGAACGACACATTATCAACAGTGACTCGTGACAATGCTTTAAATGATTCGGTGGCATTTTTTCCAGACTCAGATCATAGGTGACAAAAGTGCTGTTAGAATATCCTTATTAGGAGCTGATCCATAGGAAGTTACCCTTCTGACCTGCTCTGTAGTTCCAATGTGGCCCAAATGTAGACAAATTCAGCCTAATGCTGGGTTGGCGAAATCACAAGCTTTTGCGTACCATGGCATAGTGTCACCTCTCCCTGTGGCCATCTAATTGGCTTCCCTTCTCAAAACTTAAAGCCCATCACGAGTGTCTGCATCACACCTGGAATCTTACATCTCATGTGTTTCCTGGGTTTAGAAAGAGAATCCAGAGAGCTTGATCTGTAAGACCTCAAAGAGGATGATGGGTAACTGAGAAGACAGCTCATTCTGTCCCAGTATGTGGGACGTTCCTAAGCTAATTGTGTTTCTGGGGGATATACCTTTCAGAGTGCTAGCCAACAATGTTCCTCAGGCATCTGAGACAGGGAAAATTACTCTCTTTAGCCAGTGTCGTGTAATGGCAGTGTGAATGAGCTAGCTGCTTACACCGGGCCACTTACGCAGTCTGAAAGCATAGGGAAGCTAATGGAAGGCATTTGAGACTTTGCTGTGAGGCTCAGCCAATAAAATAAGAGGCAGGATCCTGATTCCGATAAGGGTAAGCTACAATTATCTTGTTTCACAACTCCCTGGGCCTTTAGGCTATCCGAAATCTTCAGGCTAGAAATCGTTAACACTTGCAGCAAGCAAGGAATGGGTAGGTCTGACCTCAACAGGACTTTCTATTTAGACAGAACTTGGCGACCAGTGCTCTGAGAGAGTTCTGAACTCGCCCTCTGTCTCTGGTCCCTACCAGCTGCCATTTCACTTCATGCCACGAGGGTCTGAAATGACCACTTATCGGATCAAGCAGATGACTTCGGGAGAGAACCCACACACTCCCGCCCTTCCCATTCTCGGCCACACAAATCCTCATTATTTCTTCCCTCTGCACTTAAGCAGGCAATCTTCCTGCAAGATAGGTTTTATGGGCTACAAAATGAGTGCTTTTGTGGGGTAGGAGGTGTCTTAATGTGCCTCAATTGTTGCCACCTCCTGTAATTCACGTTACTGTGAAATCCACTCCCTTGAGTATGGGTGGGACCTAGTGACACGCTTTGAATGAAAAGAAGGCAGCCTACACTTTCAGATTAGGGAATGAAAATGTAACACCATCCCTTCCTTTCCCCTTCTCCCCTGCATCCCCCCCCACCACCTCTATTATTATTCTTGCTTTCTCTCTCTCCATGTGGAAGGCAGTGGTAACATTACCCTCTTTACTATGAAATGGCCCACATCTCAAGGAGCTCAGACTGGCTTCTTCCAGTGAGCAGTAAAAACCAGTGTCTCTATTCCAACCCACGAAAGCAGATGAATCTTGCAAGAGGTGGTGACAGAGCCATCCATCCAGGTGCCCCAGACTCCAGGTCTGGCTAACAGCTGATTATGGTCCTTTGATAATGTACATCCTTGGTTACTGAACCAAGGCTTACCTGAGCCACATCTGGACACCCAATCCATAGAAACATAAAACAATCAATGATGTTACCATCAGACACTATGGCATTGGCAGCTATGGAGCCACAGCGGACAGGGATGGCCCCTTCACCATTCCTGTCACTTACTTTAATTTCTGAAACTCTTCCACAAGGCTTGATTTCTGCCCAGGAGACATCCTTGCAAAAACGGTTCCATTCACCAGAATCTAAAGAGAGAAACAACCATCGTAGGAAGATTAGGAAGGGGGAATGTTTCGAAAGTGAAAAGCCTGAAAATTCATTCCTGGCCATTGATTTGACACAGTGCTGAGCGTGTGACATTAGACCCAAAGCCGGGAATCGGAATCAGGGATCTAATGCTTTAATATTGAACTTCAAGTCCTCCATTACAACTCCATTATATTTTGGCTGGGCCCAATTATTTTCTTTTCTCTTCTCCAAGAAGGGGTAACCTCATTAACATAGCAACTAAGGGGCACATGAGCAGAGTACAACTCTTTGGGAAATGCAGCTCATTTCTCTCTGTTGCCATGGACAGAGAAGAGCGCAACTGACCAGATGTGAGAAGTGAGGCTCTCTGCCCAGATGTGTCCCAACTTACTGTGCAAACCCTAGTTAAGTGACTTAACCTCTCTGAATTTCAGATTTCCGTCTCCACACTAGGGCCCAGAATAAGAGCTTTCACAAAACCTTCAGGCCGCACATTCTTCAGTCCTTGACTTACCAAGGAAGGTAAGGAGGCAGAGAATATTTTAGCCTCGACTTAGAGATGGTTGCTACCATCAGTTTATATGCCCTGTGTCTCTACCACACTGACAGCACAACCCTGCTCAACACTATTTTAAAGCAGGACACACAGAGGACAAGATAATAAATGATTTTGAAAATAAACCGTGGTGGTTTTTGCTTCCTTCTGCTGTGATTTAAGACTCCAGGCAGCAGAGGAAAGGAGCTCCTCCTGACGGAGGCTGGTGGCTATCAGAGAGGCTGATGTACAACAAAGGCTGATGTGTGGATCTACTAAGAAGCTGTGCCAGATAGAGAAGGAAGGAAGGAGGGAATCTGAGCAGGGCCTTGCTGTAGGGCAAACTGTGTCTATCAGTGCTGAAGTCTGAAGGGCAATGGTGTGGACGTGCAGGATCTAGAAGGTTTAGACAGGACCAGGAACCTCCTGGGCCAAGGTGCTTTTAGCAAGGCACATTCTCAAACCCACGCCGACCTCACTGACCCGTCACCTTCTTGGTTCTTTATGTCCCACTCACTTGAAGACCCTGACAGCCACCGGGACTTACTTTGGGCAACATGCTGTAGAAATGCTGAAATAGCACTTGGTATGACTTCCCACTCATTGCAAAATGGTAACCTTTTCCACCAGGTGCAGAACTGTTTCCGATATCAATGTAGGTTTCCTAAAATCAAAAGGCATTGTTTATCTGCATGGGCTCATAAGCAGCACCCGCTTCCCCGTGAGGCACGGAAGAAAGCGAATGTGTGTTACACAAAGAAACAAGCATCAGCAAGTGGGAGGGGTCATTTGCCCATGGACCATCAATCTCCAGGAAGAAAACAAGCAAAATGCCCCTCAGAATTATATAAATATATGATGCTCTAACGGCGTCCATCCTTTCCTGTGATTGCGTCTTCATGGCAAGGTGCCAAGAACGTCTTTCTACTTCCTCTTCATGTATCCCGGTGTTTCCTAAGATCTTGTAGCATCCATTTACCCCGTTCCTTCACTGCAAGGAGGCATAGTTTGGTTCTTCATACCTAGCTCTTCTTGTGTCTGGCTTCTGACTTTTGTTTGCCCTACTAATTCCCTCAGAGTGCCCAGAGCTTCTTCCACACCTATGGTCCTGTACACAGTTGTCATATGCTCCCTCCTTGTCATTTACAGGTAGCCCCCTTGGCTGTGCTCTGCTCCATCCTGGCTGACGGCACAGGAGGACACATTGGATGGTGTCGCTTTGCTCCTCCCATCAGTCACCCACAATGGCTGCTCTCAAGATTTATCAGCAGGCTTTGCATTCCTGTAGGACTGAATTTAAACAGTACAGGAGGTGAGACTATTTTATTCATCAGAGAAATACATACCATAGAAAACACTGTGTTTAGAAGGGGGAGTGGAAACTGCTGTTCTAAAGCAACAGGAGGGAAAGCCCACCCTCCTCGTCCACTGCCAACTGCAAACCTCTGAACTAAGACAGGAATCCCTTTTCTTGGAGGAAGGCAGGGAAAGAACCAGAGGTGAGGAGAAAGACTGGAACTCCGAAAAGGTATTATTATTATGAATGTGGGTACAGTTGGCCTGTTTTTTAATTAGTGAAGGCCCGGGGTTCTGGAACACAGGAGACACAGAGACTGTATGAAGCAAAAAGGTTCACAATGAAATGAATACTAGAGAGACACAGAAGGCGCAGGGGCAACCATCTCTCAGAGCATACATTAGTAGAGGTGACGCCAGATTAACCATCTCAACGAGCCGGGGCCACTCTGTGTATGAGTCAGTCTGTGTGCTGCACCAAAGCCCCATGTCTACATAACTATGTCAGAAGCTGTTTAGCCTGGAACCAAGATGCATTTCTGTAATTCCTTGCTGGAAGGATCAGGCCTTTGAGGAACGCAAAAGTGGAGTGTTGGGCCATGGTCATCCTCCTATGGGAGAGTTTTCCCCAGACAAGCGAACAGGAAGCTTGCTTTCTGGGAAACCCTACATCTGTCAGCTTTCCAGCAAGGTGCTATGCAATGCAGATGCCTGTGGGGGATGTTTATGGCGTGAAGGCCATGATCTGGTGTCTGCTGTGAGGCTTACCGGTGTGCCTCTGTGAGCTTATTGCCTTCCTATCCGGGAACTCTGACTCAACCGGTGCAGCCTGACATAGGAAGTTTGTAAGCTCCCCAGGCGATGACAGTGTATGACTGGGTCTGCAAAAATGTCGCTGGAAACATTTTGCATGGTGTCGCACTTGAGACACACCACACCTGAGGTGTGATAACTTCCAGGACTCAGAGGGTTGTGCCATGCCAGGGCTGTGTTCTACAAACCCGGGGCCAGCCAGGGGTCTTTCAACATCTGCTCACCTTTCTCGGAGGGCTGGGCTCTTGGGTCCCCACCAGCTGCCAGGTCACAGAGGCAGGAAGGAGGTCTCCTGGCTCGTTAGCCTCAACAATGATGACCTGGTGGCCATGAGGAATCATTTCAGAATTCTTAGCAACAGTGATGGCGGTTTGGAGGTTGTCACCTAGATAACAGAGAGACTTTTAAAAAGGACAAACCTATAGCCACCAGAGTGAAGATGTCTCTCCCTCCCTTTGTTGCTGCTCACTGAACACATTTAGTGCTTTCTGTGCAGTCTTCTAACTACCTTTCCTCCTACCCAAGTGCATCCCTCTAGTGAGCAAACACCAGGTTCAACATCTCTCCCACTGTGTGTTTCCAATCCAGGCATAAACGAACAAAGACGTGTGTGTGTGTGTGTGTGTGTGTGTGTGTGTGTGTGTGTGTGTGCTTCATGGCTAGTATCGAGATAACAGATGGCTCTTAGTGGTGAACATATGACTTCAGGCTAAATCACAGTATGTCCCTGGGATGTGGACCAACTACAAGAAGAAACACTGAGGATCAGGACACACTTGGGTTTGCTTACCATGTTCTGTGCCTGGCCATCTGTCCCCATCTGTGTTGTGTGTGTGTGTTTATGTGTGCATATGTATGTGTTTGTGTGCATATTCATATATGAGGTCAGAGGTTTCTTCATTAATCATATTTCACTTTTTTTTTTTTTGGCAGAGTCTTTCTCTGAACCTAAAACTCCTTGATATGCCCAGGCTATGGCTAGAAAAAAACCTCAGGATCCTCCTGTCTCCACCTTCCAGGACAGTACACAGGCATGAGTCACCTCACTCTTTTTATTATTGTTTATTATTATTATTATTATTATTATTATTATTATTACTTACATGGGAGCCAAATTTCTGAACTCAGCTCTGCTTGCATGGCAAGTCCTTTGCTGACTGAATCATCTCACAACCCGTGTCCAAGTATTTCTACTCCTAGAATCCCAGGTAGGATGGGTAGTGCTGGGCAGAGAATAGGATCTACACTGCCTCAGAAACCGCTGCTGCCGCTCGCTGGTACTGCAAGGGTGGCAGGGCCGCACAGCCAGCTTCTCTCTGTCTCAGTCACATGGTTTGCTCAGGTCATGCTTCCTTTCATTGTGCTGCTGGCCAGGCTCCGGATCCTACATACCTGTAATCATCACAGTCCTGATGCGGGCCTCGCTCAGCTCCTTCAACACTGGCTTTGTTTCTTTTTTCAAGCGATTCTCCATTATGAGAAGTCCCAGGAATGTCAACTCGGACTCCACTTTCTCCCTTAGGATTCAGGATGAAAATGAACATTTTAAGGTGAAGCAGTGCGGTGCTCATGGCTGATTTATTTCTTTTCTTTGGAACCCCGTCTATGTTTTATCGGTGAAATAGTACGCAGATTAAAAAAGAAAGCAACCAGGATTTTATAAGAAAAGCCAGCGGCCCTGTCTCCATACCATCCTTTGTCTCTTTCCCTAAAGCAACCACTTCCAGTTCCCAACTACATCTTAGAAATGGTATTCTTCTCTTCCCACTCTTGTTTATTTCATTGTCAACCACGGAAATTTTTTCTCCAAAAATTACAGTCTTTCAAAATCCTTCAATATTTGTCCTTGACTATATATGTGTGTGTGTAAATATGTATATATATATACATATATATGTATGTATATATAAAATCAGTTTGACAGTCACCAGTCACTTGGAGCATTCTGCATGAATGTCATCCTCACAACAAGGTCTTATGATCATAATGTACCCATTAAGTACTAAACTGTATTCAATTTGTGCATAAAAATTAATTAATATTTTCTTACTAAATAGAAGTGCAAACTCACCAGTTAATTACACTTATCGTCTATGTGTGTGCTCATAGGCCTGTGAATTTTTGCCCGCATGTTCCTATATTCACAATGTGTGTTCCTGATGCCAGGGAAGCCAGAAGAGGATGTCAGATCCCCTGAAACTGGAGTTATGGGTGGTTGTGAGCTGCCATGTAGTTTGTGTTGGGAACTGGTTGTGCAGGATAGCAAGAGTGCTTCACCTTGGAGCCATCTCGTCAGTCCTTCATCAGCCATCTTACTAGGCACGCGAGGAGCTCGTTGTGCTTTGGATTTTCATTTTCCCGACTAAATTTCAATGCCTTTTTATGCATTTTATGCCTGTGTGTATCACATGTCTTAAAAAAAGTGTCTACTTAGGTCTTTGGATCTTTATAAAAAAAATCATACTTTTTTAATTATGAAGTTACACTCTCCTGATAAACTTTGAATAGTGATTTTTTTTAATTAAATTACGTTGCTGGAGGCAGGCCTGGTTCAGCCTGTGCTCCTTGTTTCCTGGTTGGCTGCCATGTGAACCTCCCTGGGTCCCACCGCAGCACAGCAGATAGAGGTACTCCCCCTACTTTCCCTGCTGTGACTGGCTAAAATCCCGCTCAAACTGAGAAGCAGAATAAGCCCTTCCCCCTTGCAGTGTTTCTATCAGGTATTGGGTCCTAGCAGTGCAAAGGTAATTAACCCAGCATGCGAAGACAAACTGGAAATGGACTGAAGTTGTCAATGTCAGACCGAAAACGGAAGCTCAGAGAGGAAATCACAGAGGGACATTTTCTTGAGATTAACCTTGTCAACGATTTTGTGGTTATGACACCAAGAGATGGCACAATGGCAAAGCAAAGGTGTGCTTTTGTTTCCGATGCAGTTCATCGCCTCAATCAGTTCTCCGGGCAACTGAGCCTCTACTGTGAGACCACACCATCAGTCGTTGTGCCCACCACCCTGTTCTTCAATGCCCAGCCTCTGGCAAGTTTTGCCTGCACTTATTTAACTCACATTTTTGTTTAAATACCTCTCCCCAGAGGATGTCTTTGACCTCCTTAGATGAAACTGTAGTGCGCATTCTTAAAAGTTCTTTCCACTTGGTCCATTTCTCCCCTCTGAGATATTTAAGAACCACCAAGAATACAATGTATTATAGATGTATTTTATTATCTGTTTCCCCAATTAAGATTTAAAATACTTGGGGTCAAGGAGTTCATTTTATTCATTTCTATACTTTCTGATTTAACACAGACTGCATGTTAATAGACATCTACTAAACCAAGAAAGGGTTAGGCTTTTTTTCTTTTCTTTTTAAATATTTTTGTTGATTTTGTTCAGCTAGACATTTTTCTCTGCTCCCCTCCCTCCCTCTCCCCTGTCCTTATACCCTCTCCCATGGTCCCCATGCTCCCAATTAACTCAGGAGATCTTGTCTTTTACTACTTCCCATGTAGATTAGATCCATGTATGTCTCTCTTAGGGTCCTCATTGCTCTCTAGGTTTCCTGGGATTGTGATTTGAAGGCTGGTTTTCTGTGCTTTATATTTAAAAACACTTATGAGTGAGTACATATGATAATTGTCTTTCTGGGTCTGGTTTACCTCACTCAATATCATGTTTTCTAGCTCCACCCATTTGCATGCAAATTTCAAGATGTCATTATTTTTTCCTCTATGTAGTATTCCATTGTGTAAATGTCCTGCATTTTCCTTGTCCATTCTTTGGTCAAGGGGCATTTAGGTTCTTTCCATCTTCTGGCTATGACAGACAATGCTGCTATGAATATAGTTGAGCACATGCCCTTGTGTTACGATTGAGCATTCTTTGGATATATTCACAAAAGTGGTATTGCTGGGTCTTGAGGAAGGTTGTTTCCTAATTTTCTGAGAAATCGCCATACTGATATCCAAAGGGGCTGTATTAGCTTGCATTCCCACCAGCAATAAAGGAGTGTTCCCTTTACCCCACAACCTTTCCAGCATAAGTTGTCATCAGTGTCTTTGATCTTGGCTATTCTTACACGTGTAAGATGGAATCTCAGAGTTGTTTTGATTGGCATTTCTCTGATGGCTAAGGATGTTGAGCATTTCTTTAAGTGTCTTTAAGCCATTTTTAGATTCCTCTGTTGAGAGTTCTCTGTTTAGATCTGTACCCCATTTTATTGAATATTTGTTCTTTTTATGATCAAATTCTTGAGTTCTTTGCATATTTTGGAGATCAACCCTCTGTCCAATGTGGAGGTGAAGATCTTTTCCCATTCTGTGGGGCTGCAGTTTTGTCTTGTTGACCATGTCCTTTGCTTTTCAGAAGTTTTTTAGTTTTAAGAGGTACCATTTATCAATTGTTTCTCTCAGTGTCTGTGTTACTGGGGTTATATTTAGGAAGTGGTCTCCTGTACCAATGTGTTTAAGTGTACTTCCCACTTTCTCTTCTATGATGTTCAGTGTGGTTGGCTTTATGTTGAGTTCTTTGATGCATTTGGACTTGAGTTTTCTGCATGGTGATAGATATGGACCTATTTTTGTTCTTTTATATGTTGATATCCAGTTATGCCAGCACCATTTGGTGAATTTGCTTTCTTTTTTCCATTTGATATATTTTGCTTCTTTGTCAAAAATCAGGTGTTCATAGATTAATATCTATGTAGGTGTGTGAATTAATATCTGGGTCTTTGATTCAGTTCCATTGGTCCTCCTATCTGTTTTTATGTCAATAAGGCTGTTTTCAGTACTGTAGTTCTGTAGTAGAGTTTTTTTTTTTTTTTTGCTTTTACATATGAAGTTGAGTACTGTTCTTTCAAGCTCTGTGAAGAATTTTGCTGGGATTTTGCTGGGTATTGTGTTGAATGTTGAATATGTAGATTGCTTTCAGTGAGATTGCCATTTTTACTATGTTAATTCTACCTACCTAAGAGCATGGGAGATATTTCCATTTTCTGGTGTCTTCTTCAATTTCTTTCTCCAAAGATTTAAGGTTAAGGTTCTTGTCATACGGGTCTTCCACTTGTTTGGTTAGAGTTACTCCAAGATATTTTATGCTATTAGTGGCTATTGTGAAGGATGATGTTTTTCTGATTTCTTCCTCAGCCTTTTTATCATATGTGTACAGAAGAATTACTGATTTTTTTTTAGTTAGTCTTGTATTCTGCTACATTACTAAAGGTGTTTATGAGTTGTAGAAGCTCCTTGTTGAAATTTTTGGGGTTACTTATGTAAACTATCATATCATCAGCAAATAGTAAGAATTTGACTTCTTCTTTTACAATTTGTATCCCCTTGATCTCCTTTCGTTGTCTTATTACTGTAGCTAGAACCTCAAGGACTATATTGACTAAATATCGAGAGAATGGACAACCTTGTCTGCTGAAAGGCTAGGTCTTATAGAAGCTTTTCTTCTGTCATTCAGTGTTGGTTGATTTCTAAGTTCTTTCAAAAATCTCTTAATTTCCTTGGTGACTCCAGTTTTCAAAAAAAAAAACTTTTATTTTCCTAATTGTAAAAAATTGTTAACTGTAATTTTATCCTAATAAAAATCAAAACAATGTTATTTTACCCTGCTCAAGAAAATCAACTACATAACAAGCAACATTTTTGACTCCTGATATCTCTTGGGAAAACGTGTAGTGGGTAGGAAGATAGCATAGTCTACTGTTGTTTGTTTGCTTGTTTTTATTTCTCATCATGTGCACTTTCCTACTGGCTCTTAAATGAGAATACAGCTGTGTGTCACAGCTGGACTATCTACAGTCTATCACTGGCTATGTAAATCTCTGGTTCACTCATTACCTTAACCCTATTATTGAAATTTGTGAATAGAAATTTACAATATCCCATGTGTTATGAATCATTCTGTTTGCTCAAGGCTAGTCAACATCTGAAATGTTAAGGACGTGGATGTCACTCTTATCTGAATTAGCTCTATGATTCTACTTCAAAGACAAAAATGTCTTATCCTAAAAGCTCCTTGAAGATAACCCAATCCTGTTTTATAGATGGGAAAACAGGCACCACGTGAGGCATCAATTATCTTAGAAAGACATAGGTTGCAGATAGTAACATTGAACCACATACGTTGGTACCCTATACAAAGGAGCCAATTATATAGGAATGAGAATCTCTGAATTAAAAAATATAAATTTAATAAATCAAATATAGGGACTACAAAGGCTATCGCCTATTTAGTTTTCCTGTTCTTTTAATGTAGATCACAGAAAATGAACCTCTAAAATCTGGGAGAAAGCAGTGTATAGATTATCTTCTAAGGAGGGCAATTCATCCCCTTAATGTAATTAAAAATACTGAGTTTTTATTTTCTATATGGAATTCAATTTGCACTCACTACCTCCCTCCCAGATTTGAGGGAAATAAGAAAGCTGGACCTGAGAAAGTCCAGAAAGAGGGAGGGGTCTGAAAACTTTCCAAATTTTCAGCTGTGTTCCCTAGAGGAACACCTCAGTACAAGTGATACCTCCAAAGTGTGTTGGCCACATGATGTACAGAGGCAAGATGAGCACTTGATGTGAGGGGACAAAATCCAAAACTATGCTCTGTAGGGTAGGGCAGAGGTTGGCTGTGGGGTCTGGGAAGTCTCAGCTGTCATATTTGTTCTATCACAACCCACCATGTGCCCTGGGCAAGTCCTACCTGCAGTTGGTCATCTCCAAGCCGGAGGACTGGATGAGAACAGTTCTCCACCCAAGAGCTTCCTAGTGGTGTTAGCAGCCACCAGTCCACCTCCAGGGCTTCTGCCCTGCGTGTACAAAGGCCCTTCCCGGTCTAGATTTCCAGTTCCTTACCTTGCTAAACGGTCCACATCGGAAAGCGTCTCCACATTCAGGGTTTTGTGGGCAAGGGCGATGACACGGAAGCCTTGCACTGTGTAATTCCTCAGTTCCTGTGGGAAATTCTTGGGCACTGTGAGGAGAGAGGGGGCAGGGGCTGTAGGGTCGCAACGAAGATGACCCAGCATCCAAGCGACTGCGGGAACTGCAGGATGCTTCCAGCACATCAACTTTCACTTCGTAAAACGCTTTATTAGAAAACATAGAGCTTCAGACAGAGGTCACCAACAGCGTCACAATACTCTGATGAGGAAAAAAATGGCAAACTTATGCTGTTCTTTAGCTGTGCTATGTCCTGGTTCTGTGTCCTAAACTATGTTAAAACTTCATCCCTACTATGGCTGTACTTGGACACAGACCTTTGGAAAATAAATAAGCCATGAAGGTGAAACTTTCTTGGGTGGGATTAAAGTGCAGGACGATATAAGAGATGCTCTTTCCTCACCAGGATACAGCAGCAAAAGGGGCATCCACAACTGGAAGGCTAGCCTTCACCAGGAACCAAATTATCCAGCACAGCCCAGCTTCCAAAACTATGAGAGATAGGCATCTGTGGTGTAAGCCACCCAGCCCGAGGCTCTAAGTTATAGCAGCTCCCTTAAGATGACCGAGATGGATCTGACCAGTGTCCAGTATATTGATTGGGTTCATGAAGGACAGAGTTCATAACTGTGTGTTCTTGAATGAAATCAGAGAAGTGGCCAATTTTCCAGATCAGGGTTGATAATGTTCAGGCTACATTTGATGCAGTTTGCTCTTGTCAATAAAATTTTGAGCTATGTTCACTCGCTTGTTTACTGTCCATGATGGCTTGGTGGCTACAGTGGCAGAGTTGGTTAGCTGATGCAGACACTGCATGGCCAGAAAGGCCTGAAATATGCACTGAGTGACTCTTTACAAGAATAACTGCCCATTCATCATACTTGTGTTTGTATTTGTGTGTGTGTGTGCGCACGCGCACACGCTCACACGCACAACTGTGCCTATGTGGATGTCAGAGGGCAAGTTTGAGTCTTCACTTTCCTCCTTGTTTTGAGACAGCATCTCTTCTTCTGTTTATTGCTGCATAGACCATGTTAGCCATCCCGAAACCTGCTGGCATTCACTTGTTTCTGGCTCCTGGCTCCTGGTAGGGGCTCACTGAGGTTACAGATGCATATGTTACACATCTGGCTTTTAAGAGTCAGTCTAGGGATCCAAACTCAGCCTGTGAGACTCCTAGAGCTTTACCCACTGAGCCACATCCCCAGCGCACAGCTCTGCCTAACATGGATGCTGACTCAATGCAGCACTTACATGTTTTGGTGTAAACTATGTCTTTGCATTTCTAAATTCTTGGGGGTTTCTAACGCGCCCATAGGAGGGTGTCAGACGAGAGCTGAAGAACAACAGTGGCTGTGGTGGCCTAGACAGTAGCACAACCATGGCTGTGGTGGCTCAGGCGGTGAAGCAATTATGTTTTATTCTCCATTCTACTCCCAATTCACTTTCTGACTTCAACCCATTAAACCTCTTCTGCACCTTGGCTTACATCTACGACGTGAGTGATGAGTAGATCTTACCTTCCCATTTATCTTAGACTCTGCATATTTCTAAAATATTCCCAGAGGCATGGATCTAATCTCAAGGAATCTTCTAGCCCTCATTTCTTTATAGTACGGGGGGGGGGGAGATCAAAGGTCAAGGTGAAAGGTAGAATTGTATCAGCTGTTGTGAAGATAAGAGTGGTAGATTGGAGGCTGAACTCTTCCTGACATGGAAGGGGCAACAGGGAGATTCTCACTAAAGTCTACATGGCTAAACACAAAAGAGAATAAAATCAAATATGGTCTATACCCTGTCTGAGACATAGTTAATGGGATTTGGGAGGAAGGTCAACAACTGGAAGAGAGGTCCTTTCTTTCTCATTCTGGAAATCAGACACATAGCTTGTGCATGCTAGGCAAGTCCTTCATCCTTGACCTAGAAAGGGAAACATATGTCCAACTGTGGTGGCACAGCACTTGGGAGGCAGAGGGAGAGGCAGGCTGATTTCTATGAGTTCGAGACCAGTCTGATCTGTAGAGTGAGTTCCAGGGCAGCCACTGTTGTCAGAGAAATCCTGTCAAAAAAAAAAAAAAAAAAAACCAACAAAACAAAAGAAAGTGAGACTTAATAAACATTCATGAAATTTAGAATTCTGGGCACAACTGGAGGCTAATCATAACAAGTAGATGAAAGCCAGGAGGAAAAAAAATGCCAGTTTCATCCAAGTGAATTTATTTGAATGCACAAATTTTCTATAAATTTGGCCACCACTTAGGATATGCATATGTTTAGGAGAATATTAAATAGCACAGCTTGTCTCAGAGTCGGGACCAGAAAGACAAAAAATTGCTGGGAAAACCATCTAATTTAGTCTAATCATGTCCCCCCTGAAATATTTCTCTTTCAAAAAATATTTCCAACTAAGATCTGATTTGATTTAAAGCTCATTTCATGAGCTAGAATCTATTATCAACACTGCTCGGGTGGCCAAGAACCTAGGGCTAGATAGGCATAAGCCTGGGGGAAACCAAATACTGTTGTTCTGCTATAGGAAGATAGCGATAAAATGATTCCAAAAACATTTGGCTATACTCATACATCAGTGCCTTGCTCAGCCATCATCAGAGGAGTTTCCTCCAGCAGCAGATGGGAACAAAGACAGAGACCCACAGCTGGACATTGTGCAGAGTGAGAGACCTTGGAACACTCAGTCCTAGATGGGATGTCTCCACTAAATTCTGCCCCGAGAATTCAGAAAGCTCCACAGAAAAGGAAGAAGGAGTAAAGAGTGTAAGAGTCAGACGGGATGGAGGACACCAAGGGTACAAGGTCTTCTAGACACAGAAACACTGATGGACATAGGAACTCAGGCAAGACTGAGGCAGCAGACATAGGGCTTGCACAGATGTGAACCAGATGGGGCCCTACAGCTCTGAGAAACAATGGACACATGTCCCCATCACTACACAAGCTAGGTTCAGTTGGTAACCACTTGCACATGAGAAACTAGTGTTCCCCAAAGGAGTTTCACTAGGGAAACCCTTAGGGTGGACCCCATGCCCCACAGGAGATGCCAACACAGAATGAACTCTACGGCATCTTTGGAGGTTCCTTGTCTCAAAATGTTCTGCCAGGGCCCTTTTCTTTCTGTCTTTAATACCTTACAGGTCTTTTCTATATATATAATATGGCTTTCAGTTCTGTGTTTCTATGGGATTCCTGTGTATGTGAATATGTGTGTCTCTACATTTATGTGTGCCTCATGTTTTTTTCTGTTTGTTTTTACCCATTTCTGTTTTGTTAGATTTTGTTTTATCTTGTTTTATTTTATTCCTTAGATGTCTGTTCATTTCTAGCAAGAGACAGAAAGGGTGTGGATCTGGATGGAAGGGGAGGCAGGGAGGAACTGAGCACCTGGAGGAGGGGGAACCATAACCAGAATATATTGTAAGAAAAAATCTATTTTCAATAACAGAACAAAGTAATTCTCAGGGTGGGGAGATGACTCAACAGATACAATATTCCAAACTTGATGATCTGAGTAGAAGTTCTGGGACTACATGGTACATGCTGGAAGAACAGAAATGACTCCCACAATTTTCATCTCTCTCTCTCTCTCTCTCTCTCTCTCTCTCTCTCTCTCTCTCTCTCACACACACACACACACACACACACACATACACACACATGTGCACACACACAAACATGCACACATGCATATGCACACACAGACAGACACACATTACACATACATACATACACACGTGCACATACATACATACACACACATACACAGAGAGAGAGACACAGAGAGAGAGAGAGAGAGAGAGAGAGAGAGAGAGAGAGAGAGAGAGAATTTCCTATCTATTGTTCTGTCTCAGCTGCTAATCGCAGAGCCAGCCCTGTTCCCTTTGCCAGAGTGCAGAGTACCCTGTTATTCAGATCTGGTCAAGTGTTTGGATCCCACCCTAGATTCCCCACTAGTCATCCAGCCCATGTACCTCCTGCAGCTTAGCCTTACATCTTCTGCCACGACACCCCACTGTGGCTATACTTTGCTGCTGTGTAACAGCCAGATGTTTACTCTCTACCTCTGCACCTTCCAGTCTCCCCCTCTGCACCACAGGATCTCCCGGGCTGCTTTCACCTGCCTACAAGTCAACCCGCTCCTTTTATTGGCTTTGGTGGTTGAGTTCTTCATGTGCTTTTATTACAGTGGTGCAGAAGTTTGCTTTCTGTGTTTGGCATTTGAAATGGTTTTTCCTTTGAAAGATAAAGTCAGTACCTGTTTCGGATCGGCAGAACCTGGCCACCATTTCCGGAGCACCCTTCATGTAGACCTGGAGGCGAAGGTCACCAGCCAGCTGAGCGATCACAGACATCCTCTGCAGGCCAGAGGAGAAGGGAAACTGTCGCAGGACAGTAATGGAGTCCACCAGACTCTGCAGGGACATCAAAGAGAAGGAGATCAAAAAGCCTTCAAGCATTACTCGGCCAACCAACAGGGTTTCTCATCCGAAGAGCCCAGCCACATCATGGCATATTATATATTTATAATGCTTATATTTTTCTAGCCTATACAAGGGTGACTCACTCAATATATTATCTGGTCTCAAAACCGCTTACTGATGGCTGCCTGGAGAAATCCTAATCTCCTTCCAGGTCATCCTCTGTGATGGGATGCTTCTTTTTCCCAGAAACACTATTCATTCCCAGCTCGGCTCTCCCACGGCTCGTTTGTCAGCCTTTATTACAGCGCTTGGCAGGGTGTACTGCGCTGACTTGCACTCGTATTGATTTCTGACCACTGTGTGCTCTGCCCGTGCAGAACCCAGCAGTGAAGTCTAGCTCGGTGCTCCAGCGTGCATGGACACTCACTGAGTGTTTGCTGGAACACTAATGAGAGAAATGGGGATTGTAGGCATGGTCATACCAACTATGGAATCTATTAGGATAAAGCCTAACAGGAGAAATGTAAAATATGTGCAAAACCCGAACTGTCTCTCCAGTGTCTGGGGGAAGGAAATACGTGATCGAAGGAGGAAAATCGTACCTGACTGGCTTTTGGTCCTGGTTTTATTACGGTGCTTGAATCTGACAGGCCCAATTTGCAGGAAGGCACTTGGCAATCTTCTATGTTCTGTTACAAAATGAAACATTCATAAGATGCCTTGGAGACAAATAGGAAGAAACAGTTTTCCATGTGCAATGTGCTAATATTTTCAAAAACCCTTTTCAGGGAGCTTCTCTTCCCAGATGTTTCCTTCAATACCACCAGTGTCAAATGTCTGCCATTTTCATTAACAAAAAGGACTTCATTGTGAAAAATGTCGAAAATCCCAAAGTACTGTAAATACAGTAAGGTAGAAAGGGATGGGGAGGTGCAGGATGTGGGGTCACTGTTCTTCCCAGTGGCTGTGTCTAGTGGCTGGAGGAGGAGGTCGGGTCTTTAATCTTGTTCAGTACAACAGCTCTCCGCTGTGTGAACAGCTGTGCCCCCAAGATAAACACAACAACACAATTTTATGTTACCCCTGTGTTACTGGTCTAATTTAGTTAGCTAGAAAAGCTAGCAAGTTGGCCACGACCAAAGTAAAAAGCACAGTTGAAAATGGATTTTATTTCTTGGCTAAAAAATCCAAATATAGGCATTAGTATTATTGAGAAATCAACATTAACAAATATCAAAATATTAGAAAAGAATTTACTGTATTTTTTTCTTAATAATCTGTAAGGATATTGTCCCTCCCTCTTTATATCTAGCAGGTTTCCAGCTAACCAAGAATTAACTCAAGGCTCTATCAGATCCAGACTACATCTCAGTGAAAAGTGCTTTGTTTAGGGGTGAATATGACCATCTTGACAGTTCTTGCAGATGTGGCATTAAAGATTCATGTTCACAAACAAGATCCCAACGTGTGCATCATTAGTGCAGGTACAAGGGGTCTTACTAGGATCAGGATCCATGCGACACATAGTCACCATGGCTGCAGGTCATCACTACATCAGTTCCGCTGGGGCTGGGAGGGCTCTTCTCTTCAGGTCATTCATTGCTTTCCCTACACTAAGACCCAGGAAACTGGGTATGATTCTTGCTTTGCATCAAAACCTTCCTCAGAGCCACCAACTCATCTCAACATACTGATTTTAGGAATTTCCCTTCATACCAGGTTTCCCTTTTTAGGCACTGGCCTTCTAGAGAAACAAAACTTCCCACTATTCATCTCTGCATTAGCTTCCTGTGAGGAGTGCTTCATGCTCTGACAGCCGTTTGATCCCATTATGTTGATCCTAACAGTAAACGTTTTCCTATGAAATATGTGTGTGTACGTGCACATGCATGTGTGTGAATCCAGGCGTGCAAGAAGATGCATGCAGTATCTGTGATGGGTTTTAGATTGTGTCTCCGACTGGGACCCAGAACTCTGATTCAGCTAAGCTATGTGACCAAAAAGCCCCCAGAGATCCATTTGTCTCTGCCTCCCCAGCTCTAAGATTACAAGTTCATGACACCATGCAAATCTTTTTACCTGGGTTCTACAGCTCAAACTCAGATTCTTGTGTTTGCAAGGCAAGCACGTTTCTACCTGAGATCTCTCCCCAGTCTTTCCTTGCCCTTTATATATTACTTAGTGTTTTTGATGTCCCTCCCCTTTCTTTGGAGGTCAGCATAATGACAACAATCAAGGGACTTATTAAAGAATACTCGCTATTTGTTTGGCATTTTATAATGCCCAAAGTCACTCCAAATCTCAGTATCACCTGAGTCTGTAAAGGAGGTGTTCTTACTGCAAATGCACAGATAGGAGAATTATAGTGTTAGGTATAGATCTGAGTGGCCAGGGACAGGTGGAGAGCAATATTCACTGTCACAGCAGCACCCAGGACAGGTTTATGGTTTGTGCCCTTCAACTGCCACTCACACCCACCCAGCTCAGAAAGTAGGATTAGTTTGAGCAAGGTTCCTCTTTATTCATGTATAAACCTCTATTGTGCAATACAGTAGCTACCAGCCACTGTGGCTACTTAAATTTAAATCAACTAACAACTGCAATCAACAACTCAGTTCCTCACTTGCATTTCCATATTGCAAATGTGTGTTAGCCACATTGGGGAGTCTGCTGTAGACTTCTCTTTCTTCCAGGCTGTTGGGGAGCATCGGTATCAGCTTATGGCCTATCTAGAAGGATTTAGGGTCAAATAGGTTTCATGAATGCTACATGTCATGTTCTCCCTGGAATATTCAAAATGCACCATAGTATATTAAATAATATCCCTAATCAAAAACTACATTTAATTTTGTTTAAAGAGCAGTTCCCCAAATTATGAATTTAGGGACTCCTATACCATGTTATACTCTGTAACATAATTCTCTGAAAGAGGGGTTGAAAGATCCTGTCAGGATAAGACTAGAATTCATCCAAAGAGGATTCATTCATTTTTTATTATTATTATTATTATTATTATTATTATTATTATTATTATTATCATCATCATCATCATAGGTACTGCAGGAGCAAATGCTGGAAAGGAAAGGTGCCACTGTATCTCTCTACCTCATACGCTAGGGCTGAGGAGAATCTGATTCTGAAAGAAACTCTATGATATTTAACTTTAATTGTTAATTTGACACAACCTAGAATCATCTGAGAAGACAATCTCAATTATGGACAAATGTAGGATGAACTGTAGCCATTCCTATAGAGGTTGTCTTAAGTAAGTGCTATGAGAAGCCTCAGCACACTGTGGGTGGCACCATTCCCTAAGCAGGAGAACCTGAACTATACACAATAGTCTAGAAATCAAGGAGAAAGCAAACAGGCGAGCAAGTGAACATGTGTGTATTCATTTCTCTCTACTCTTGATTGTGGATGTGATGTGACTAGTTATTTGAAGCTCCTGTCTTGACTTCCCCACAGCACTGGACTGAAAACCTAGAAATTTAAGCTGAAATCAACACCCTAGGTTGCTTTGTGTTAAGATATTTTTTTTTACTCTTCTGTCATGCATTACATTCTGACCACAGTTTCCCCTCCCTCCATTTCTCCCATTCCCTACCCCACCTCCCCTCTCCCCCAGATCCACTCTTCTTTCATTTCCTGAAAGGGGGGCTTCCCAGGAGTATCCACTGAACAGGGCATATTCACTGTCACAGCAGTGACAATTGTAATAAGTTACAATAAGTTACAATAAGATGAGGCACAAACCCTCATATCACGACTGGTCTAGGCAACCCCACATTAAGAAAAGGATCCCAAGGGCATGCCAAAGAGTCAGAAAGTCCCTCCACTCCCACTGTTGGGAGTCCCACAAGAACACCAAGCCACACAACCATACTATACAGGCAAAGAGCCTCTCTCCAACCTTACAGGGTGCCTGTTTATCATGCCATTTTCTGTGAGCCCCTATGAGCCCCATTAGTTGATTCTGTGGGCAGTAGTCTCTTGGTATCCTTGACCCCTGGGGTGCCTACAATCCTTCCTCCCATCTTCTGTGGGGTTCCCCTGGTTCCACCTAGTGTTTGACTGTGGTTTTCTGCCTCTGCTTGCAGCAATTGCATGATAATGCCTCTCTAATGACAATGCGGCTAGGCACCAATCTATGAGTACAGAAGACTATCATTAGGAATCATTTCATTGACTTTTTTTTTTTTTTTTTTTTTTTTTTTTTTTTGCTTTTTTTTTTGCCAGTTGTGCTTGGTTCTATCCTGGGCTGTCCTGGATATTTTTATTATAGCAACAGAAACAACACTAGAACACTACAACCAAGCACTGTCACATCTCCTAATCCAAAAGGCCACTCCCTCCACTAAGTGTCCAACTGCCCTCAAATTCTGTAAACAAGGAAACAGAGCTGATGTGAACACAAACTTGTATAGACTGTGGGCATTGGTGGAAAAGCATCCTGAGCTCTGGGAACAGAAGACTTTCTAGCTGCGAGGGAAAATACAAGCATGTGTCTGCCTCCATCTCAGACACTGAAAGAGATACAGCGGAAAGTGTGGCCAACCAGCAGAGCAAAGCAGAAGAACAGCAGTCAAGAGGACACTTCATGCTGAGTGCCGGAGACACTCATTCTGAGCAGCAGGGAACAACTCTCAAGTCATGTCCACACAGGAATTCAATGGAGCAGAAAAAATACAGGAAGCAAACTGTATACAGCCATTCTGCTTCGACCTGGTTGAGCACCAGACAGATAACAGCTGCTTTCCCACCAGCAGAGCAAACTTCAGAGATGACCTAGGGGTAGGGGAGTCATCCTAGACAGGAAAAATATTGGCTACTAGTATTCTGGTTCCATTTTTTTGCTTTGTTATTTTTGTTTCGGTTTTGAAGTCACTTGATTAGGATTTACAACTATGTTTTATCTGCACCTGTTCTCTCCTGTTCTCAACTATTTCTCAAAGCTTAAGCCTGTTGCTTTACCTCTTATTCCTACTTCACGTCCTCCTATTTTCACTTCTTAATTATTCATATTTCTAGTCGTAATAGTCTTTGAACACCTACTTTATCCATCAATAGCTCTTTTATTTTCTATCCTCATTTGGAATGTAAATGGTGCACCTAACTGCTTTTCACTCTATTACCCGATTACTGACAAATCATTGCTTTTGTTTCTGCTCTTTGTGTCTTCCCTTTAGATGACAGAGACCATACTCGCAAGAGAAAACTACTCAGTAAGAAGAACCACATGAAACAAAACGAACAAAAGATGGGGGAAAACCATAAAAGATGCATCTACCCAGACAGACGTACAAATCACACATGAAACAAAACGAACTCCGAAGTTACTAAACGCCAGAAACAAATCACTAAAATTCCAGACAAATAATTTAGAATCCCACTTTTAAAAATGTTCAGTGACTTCATAGAAGATTAAATAAATAGATGAATGAAGCAAGGAAATTAATTCAGAGACTGGGTAATAAAGTGCTCATTGTCAAGAATAAAGACTTGAGTTGAGAATCCACTTAAAGCCAGGCACAGGACCACCTGTGTGCCAACCCAACCCAATGTTGCTACCATTAGATGGGAGACAGAGACAGAAAAAGCCACTGGAGCTGGTGGGCAAGCTAACCTGAGGTACACAGTAGCACACTGGAAGATTACATGGAAGATGGAGACTGATACCTAAGGTTGT